AAAGCCCTCCACAAAAATGTTTTTAAAATAATTTTTTCAATATTACTTAACTTGGATATCTGAGCTTAGGAATGTGTTTGAACAATAATCGCCTGAAATGAAAAACTGTCTACTCACACAGATAATCTAAAAATGAGTTTAAGATGGAAAATATTTTTTCTAAATCCTACTTTGAAGCCTTTTCAATATGCAATTTATACAAGTCTATTATGAAAACCTTTTTATTAATGTATTTGACAGGGACAATACATGTAGGCATTGTTATATTTGAATGGTGTGCAACGGAGGCATACAGGACTTCTAGCCATAGCTGTTCTGCAGACTGTGTCCCTGGTTAGGCTTTTAAGACATTATGTGTTCTGCACATTTTTAAATAATAATTGTTTAGCATATTCATAGATTCAGAATGTTGGTGAGGGAGAAGATGGATAATTATTTTACAAAAAGCTCCAACTTTTCAGTAAAACAGAACATTTCTATATTCTTAAAAACGTGTCTTTAAGGATCTGTGGGTCAAGCCGTAACACAGAAAAGCTCTGGCCTCTGAATCCCAAACCTCAGCTTTTACAGGCTGCCAAAACAATCTGCCAAAAAGCAAATTAGTATTACTTAATACTATCTTAAAACTAATTTGCTTTAAGTAATTAAAATTGCCAAAGGGAAATACTTGTATGCTTGTTGAGCTCGCCTACAGTACCTTTTTTCTTTTCTCAATGAAGCGTTTTAGACCTTACTTATTGAGGTTAAGCATTTATTAATTGAGGGTGCTAATACCATCTTCAGGCAGAAAGCAGGGGAGGTGTTGTGACAAAGATGTTTATCTGGATTAAAACTCTGGACATTTTAGTTACACGTTGTTCTTTTTGTGCCACTTCTTTTAGGTTTGTCGACACAGTAGATACACTTTTACAACCTCTCTCATCCTTACTACTGTGTCTCTGTGTGTGTGTGTGTGTCCGTGTGTGTGAGACGGTTGATTAAAAGTGTTATTTATGAGGTTGAAGTGCTGAGTACAGGGATTCTCCACTGTACACCACGGAGAGCACTACTACCACTCACTTTCTGACCACACACACACACACACACACACACACACACACACACACACACACACACACACACACACACACACACACACACACAAACACACAGTATGCTGAGTCGAGTTACTTTCTCACCCACTAAATCCACACACACTTACATACACCCACTCTCTCTCTCTAACTCAAAGGTGAATTTTGTGCCGCCTTGTGCATTTCTCATTTCCTTTCCAATGCTGTTTTTATTAAAAGATAAATTGTAGACAGAGCTCAGTGTAAAAGGAACATAATAATTCAACTGTTGCTTAATTGCATCAGGGATTTAGTTGTACTCTCTTGTCCAATTTGCTCTTACAATTCCCTGCAAAAGCCCTCAGCCTGCTGCTAATCTGCAAACCAAGCAAGTGCTGTTTTTCTTTCTTGAAAGACACTGGGTTGGGATTAATAGAATGGGGGAGATGCGGCATCACTCAAACACTCCAACTCAATTCAATTTAGCATTTTCTTTTTCTGTTTCACTCTCACCTTCCCTTTCTGCTGAGTGTGTGTCTCTCCCTTTCAAATACACAAACATACAACTCTTCAGTACATTCACTAGCAGGACATTTTATGTGACATAACACTTTTTATTAATTACATTGTATCACGACAGACTGGTCCACGTTCAGAGAAAAATCATATCATTACCATCATGACTCACTGTGATCATTTCCACCACGCAACTGTATGACTGTACAAGCTCCACCGGTGTGTGTTTCTCTGTGTGTGAGTGTGTGTAACATCTAAATGTTTGCCTCGTAAACCCCAACAACCTGCTTGCAAAGACAGACATTAGCTGCATCAATCAGAATATCTATAGCTTTGAATTACCTTGTTTGTTTTTAATACAGATGGAGCATTGAGGAGCATTCTTCAGTAGACAGACATTTCAACATCTCTTCCATACAGAAACATTACAGTGTTTTACCGTCTGTCGTATTTTAACTTCTTACAATCCAAACATCCACAAAACATTCAAAATCCTCCTTTTTCTTCTACCAGCGGCGAAACCCTCTAAACACAGAGACAAATAGCACAGATCCAAAAATAGTGAAATCACAGTTGAATTTTTTTTTTTTTGCAGCAGTTAAGCAGTTTTTGTGGTATTACATTCTTCAGGGCGTAGTGTCTCCAGAAGCATCCGAGCACAAAGGTAATCTAAAAGATGACCTTTCCGATATTTCAGCTCTATTACTGTAGCTCAGACTGTGATGTGAGGGTGGTGACGGAGAAAGGGGATTAAATGTGATACGGATCATAACACTCTCAAAGTTGTGATGTGTATCTGTATGAGAAATCTGTGAGCTGAGTCACATTACTGTTTAGCCCAAACTCAGCACGATACTTATGTTGTAGTGAGGCGAAAGTAAACATTAATATTGCTGATATACTTCTGTGAAACCCAGGCTTTAGTGAGCTGTGTAGAGAAGAAGGCAGAATTTTAAGTCATAAATAAAGCAATTGAGCGCTTCCATAAATCTTAGCTGCCATAATGCCAACCTCAGTCCTACTCGACCGGGTGGAGTCATTTATCATGAATTGGTGAACAGCGACAAAAAATCAATTCTTGATTCCTCCGTTGAATCTCATTGCATTTGAACTAGGATCTGGCTGGAGTCTGAGCCAGGCCCTCGGACCCCTCCTGACTCACCCCGCCAACAATCACTCACAGACAGTCACACACAACCGCGAGAAAGAGCAAACAATCTTCATTCCGGGGGCGGTTGGATGTCATTTTGTTTATTTTTGAGTCCCACGTATCTCTCTGCCCTCCACTTCTAAGACATACAAACAATACAATCTAAATACTGACACAGTCCTGGACACAGTAGTGAGCGACGCTTAATTCTTTCAGCAGCTTATTCACATTTGTACATGTATTTTTTGTTCATTCCTCTCACTGTTATTTCGTATTACAAAAACAAAGAAAAAGTAGCACTTCTAGAAACCAAAGTTCAAGACTATCACGTATAGTAGGCTATAGGCAGCATAGAGGAGGGGAGTCTATTACAGTAGGTCACTTGAAGAAGAGCCAGAGAGAGAAGTCTGTGATTGTCAGTCCCTCCTTTTCTGAGGTGTCCTTTCATACAGCAGTTGTTGTTTTTCCTCCTTTTTTTATTCTGTCTCAATTTGACCAATTACTTTGATCAGAGGCACCATCTTCAGCCGGAGTTACATTTGTGCTGACTAGTCTGTATGGTAACACACATCCCTCTCACACAGCCTCTTTCTATAACTGTCAAAAATATCACCACTGTCCAACTTGACACAGTTCATTATTAAAAAAAGAAAGGAAACCCAGCAGGTCGGTACACACACAGTGCAACCAGCTGAGATGTTGCTTCCACGTCTTGTCTCTCTTGACATCGGAGGCATTGTTTGTTTCTCACACACACTGCCTTCTGTTATTGCGCAGAGAAACTGTGTGTGTGTGTTTTATTTTAGTGTGCTCGCTCAGTGCAAACTCCACTACGACTTTACAGCAGGGATGGATTTTGAGGACCTTGTTAGCTGGCCTTGTCAACGCTGCCCCTGGCACTCATGCTCCGACAGGTGACAATAACTTTGCAATGTATCAAACTAAATCTACAAAAGTGGCAGACTAGGGGAATATCCATCCCTGCTGTAGCGTACGGTGTACACGAAGACACAGATGTTTAGAGGGAGCCCGACATAAAAATACATAAACAATCAAGATTATCTTACACATTAGCTAAAACATAATTAATGAAACCAGTTCAGTTGGTTGTTGCAAAAGGCAACCTTAGATATAGAAAGAAATGTACAAAATGCTTCTTAATTTATAAATAATACTATAAATCAATCAAATCAACAATTTCAAGTTCACAAACATCAATACCATCAAGTGCTGTTGTTAATAATCAAATAAGACTTATAATTCCCGATTGATGTTTTACAGCAAATCCCAAAAGCTTTCAGTGAAACCACAGTGATCATGACTTCTAAATATGTCCGCAAAGAGTAAAATATGCCCCAGTAAAATGCAAAAAGAAACAATAAATGTGTTTCCTTGCATGCATGTGGTTGCATGTTGTATACAGAGTGCGAGTAAGCGCACTACTATTAGCAGTAGAACCACTTCACTCGTTTACAGTACTGTAAGCGAGTGAAGTGGTTCTCCATAATCGGGATGTGCGGTGCATTATTGAGTTCATTTTCACTGTAAGCTGTTGGTGGGCTGCCAGTAAAATGTGTTTGTGTGGTTGTGGCCAGCCCTAGGAATGTGATGGGAGCGTGAAGTTGTGGCTTTACGAACATCTGCAGGCCACAGTAATGATGGATGATCACTTTCACTTTCTCCCTGAGGACATTCACACCTCCTCTCACTCCTTTCTCACTCCACTATCTTCTCTTCCTCCTTCATCTTTCTCATCATGACCCATTCAAACCTTTTCCCTCCCATCGTCTTCTCCTTTCTACTCCATTGCTTCCGCTCTGAACTCTCTCCATTTCTTTCCCAGTATGCATTATTACCTCTCCTCCTCTTATTTCCCATCTCCACTCCTCCCCTCTTTCTCTTCCTTCCCTGTTTTCTTCTCTTTCACCTCTCCATCCCTTCTTTTCAGCCATAAAACAATAAGTCTTGAATGTCTGTGAGGAGACTGTGCTAATGGAGCCCATTAGGCTGTAATGAAATATACATTACACCATTACAGTGGACGGGGCCTGGCTAAAGCACTGCACCGCTCAAATAATAAAACATGCACAATTCAATTTCCTTCTCGTCCCGTTTTGAGTGTCTTTCACTGTGTGTGTGTGTAGATGGAGGGATGATGGGATAAGGTATTGTGTGTGTGTGTGTGTGTGTGTGTGTGCGTGTGTGTGTGCGTGTGTGTGTGTGTGTGTGTGTGTGTGTGTGTGTGTGTGTGTGTGTGTGTGTGTGTGTGTGTGTGTGTGTGTGTGTGTGTGTGTGTGTGTGTGTGTGTGTGTGTGCCTCCCCTCTTGCACAGATGTGGTTTTCAAGGATGTCTGAGTGCAGAGAGCCTTGATGATTTAATATGGGTTGACCAAATGAACCACACCTTCTACAGCGCCGCCGCCCACACTTCTGACCGAGATCTGCCCCCTCACAACCCGGCCTCCCTTAGCGCCCCCCACCCCCAGACACCAAGACCTCACGATTGTCGGGCAGCTGCGGACAAATGAATCAATTGACCTTCGACACGGGTGCTTGACATCACAAGTGAAGCATCTGTCACTTTAGGGGAAAGGAAAAGGAGTTATCATGTTACCCTGTGCTGTGTTACAGTCCAATATGTAACAGAAAACAGTATGCAGAGATGAGTGCATATATCCTTATAATAATAAGACTGTTGCATGAGGTGAGTATTATAGATCAGTACTGTAGATTTTTTACATTTCACAATTACAACATAGTGGAACAGCACTGCCTTTTACACAACAGCAGTTTAGTTTAGCTTCAGTAGGCAATGTATTCCTAGATTATTATTTTTCTTCAGTGAAATTGTACAACCAGATATCCTCCTTTTTCATGTCATCGGGTAATTTTATCTGAAAACCAGCTACTTTTCCGACTCATTTGTGTATGTTACATTTAAATCTGCTGTACGTGTAGCACTGTGCTAATCATCAGCTGTGCAGTCATCTCCTCCGGCCATGTTGGATGAATGCTGACATTAATACTCATGAACAGTTCTGAGGGATAGACAGACGGGGTGAGAGGGGAAAACACAGTGTCTTCATGGCTCCACATCGCAAAGAGCCATTTCCTCCATCGCACAGTTTCATATTTACAAGAAATAGGATCGAAGCTTCCGGAAATCCCTCGTTGAATTTCCAGATGAACACACGAGTCCCGTTGTCCGACAGACAGCAAGGGATGAGTCACAACATTTTAAATTCCTGTTAATCAGGTTTTCATCAATTTAGCCCCAGTCAGTTTAAAGCATTTGAAAAGAAGTATAAGAAGCTTTTTTTTCGTCCAAAGTTAAATTACTCTTAGCAAATGTCTCTCCGGGAAGGAAGAAGGGAGGAAGAGATGCGAAAAGGAGAGGAAATTGGCAGGGAGGAAAGACGCGGTTCGGGATGAGTTGAGGAATTTCTTTGATTGCCTTTTTAGAGAGTTTGATAATAGCTTCACATCCTGTACAGCGGTACGTCACACGCGCAGTTGCACGAGCATCTTACACTTCATTTCATTCACAGGTTCGACTGTGTCCACCCTAGCACACACACACACATGCATGCAACCTCAAATACACATATACGCTAAAGTACAGTAACCATCCCCACATACATACACCCACACACACATACACACACACACATCCTCTCTCCTCCTGGGTTCAGCCAAGTATATCCAGGTATACAGGTGAAGCTTTGGCCAGATTGAGGAGCAGACAGTGGATTTCTTTGATGTTGAGTCTCATGTGCGGCTCTCTCTGCCAGCAGCCCAGCATCAGGTCGTACACTTCCTTCAGACAGGTCCTGGGGCGCTGCAGCACCCTGCCCTGGGTTATACACTCGATCACCTGCAGAGGAGCAGAGAAAGACAGACATCAAGTTTAACCTCGGTGGAATTCTTCTATTACAAAACAAGAAATGCATCAAATCAAATCAAGTTTTATTTATAGAGCACATTCAAAAACGATTTTTGGTCGAGCCATAGTGCTGTACATGTAATAAAAACACTTTACTACAATAACAAGAAAAGACAATAATTTACAACAGAAATATAAAAAACAAAACACAGGGAAATGTCAGGTGTCGTAATCAGCTCTGACTAGAAGGCCGGAGAGAAGAAGTGTGTCTTCAGTGAGGATTTAAAAACAGGAACATCCTCAAAGATCTAAGCCAGGGGTGTCAAACTCAAATACACAGTGGGCCAAAATAAAAAAAATGGGTACTAGTCGAGGGCCGGACTGGTTCAATGTTTATTGTAAAACTTATTGAAATGAACTTATTGCACATATTAAACCTGGAACTAACAAAGCTTAAATTATTGCCTATAAAAACAACATTAAACATTAAATAATCAGTTGCATTCATTGCTTATGGCTCTATCTGCAGCTTTTCCAGAGTCATTTCTTATGATTACATTTTTCCACAGGCCAACAACAGCTTAAAAAAAACTATTTCCCTCAAAGAAAAAAACAAACATGCCCTGTTGTCGCAAGAAAAAAAGTGCAAAAGGAAACATCTATTGAAACTCAGTTTGCTGCTCTGTGATGCTCAAGCCAGATACTTGGCATCTCATCTTGGGTGCAAGGTCATCAATGTTTGGGGTCAGGCTCTGAGCTGAGGAAACCCTCAGGATTGAGTGAAGGTGTGCGTGCAATATACCGGCGGGCCAGATCTAATAGTAATTAGAAATTATCCTGCCGGCCGAAATTAAATCCACCAAGGGCCTGATTTGGCCCCCGGGCCTTGAGTTTGACACATGTGATCTAAGCTGAGAGTCGTTACTCTTTGCACGTCGAAGATGATGGAGCATCAGCTTGGTGAGGTTGTTCCACCTCACTGCAGTGGCATACAGTGAAAATGTCACTGTGAATAAATTGACTGCAGTGACGAAGTTAGGCAGCACTAGAGCAGTAAACCACACAAATCTAATCCAATTTCTCCATAGAAGAGTGAGGGAAAATGGTCTGTTTTAACACACTCCAAGAATTGTGTATTATTTGAAACATCTACAGATTTAAGTTTTAAATCTACTGCAGGATGAGGATTTGTAGATCCTGGAGTGGAGATGTTTGGAAACACACAATACTATACAGGGGAGAGCTCTGGTACAAAGTGTGTGTATATATCATTCTCTGGAAGCGGTTAGTAAAATATCTATACTGTACTATAATTAAGCTTTTAATCATTGCCTCAAACCTTAAATACACTCTGTTGCGTGTGTGGAATGAATACCAACTTATGGATATTACTGCAAGCTCAAAAAAACAGTTTTGTCTTCCAAATTGTGATACATCCAATTAAATAATTGTAATACCTGGAGATTATCATATAAGATCTCTACATTATTAAGAATTCAGATTGGTATCATAATTTCCCAAATCCTACTCATTTTGTGATTGTTATCAGCTAGTGACAGAAAATCCATAATTAATATCTCATTTTGAAAAAAATCTATATTCTACGTAAGATATCTGATCAGATTTGGGTCAGGAGGTGAGTGAACTGCAATTTGAGGGAGATGTGATAGATGTTAACGGGAAAAGAAGAGACCGTGAAAGGGGGCTTAAGGTTAATTGTGCATGTAACCAGAGTGAATCAGGAGAAAAGAAGATGCTGACATGGTCAAAAAGCTGTAACCAGAGTTGAGGACACCACAGGGGCGAGGTGAAGGGTTGAAGGGCTTCTACACAGCTTTGTTTTCCGGAAACCGGGTTGAGACCCTGAGCATTTTAAAGGGCTGATTTGTAACAGTTATAAATAATTCAGATTAAAACAGCCCATTGATTACTTCTCTATTTATTAAAATGTTAACTTGTTAAATGTTTGTTATTCCAATCAAAACGACTCTTCTTCCTGTACACATTTTCCAAGGACATTTTTAGTTATTTGTTTATTAGACAGTCTAACCCTTTTAATATTAACTTTTTTTATAGTTGTGAAACTAGGTAAAATAATCACTGTCTGGTAGTAGCAAATACTGTATTTGTCTATGAGCTTGTTCCAGCTCTTTACTGGTATATGATGTTTAAAGCAAGTGAACTATGCCATCTTCTATGAATCCATGTATGGTCGCCACACTCACACTACAATTAAAATACTCTAGATGTATTAGGAAATGTACACTTCTTACTATTTTAGTTTGTACATTTACAAAAGAAAAGCCTGAGCGATATGCAGTACAAGGCATGTACATACTTGACTAAAATTACACAATTATGAAAGGGTTTGAATCCTGAACCATTAGAAAAGGGTATTTTCTTTTATCAGTGTGACCAGATAAGAAAATCTGTGGATCCATGACAACAAATACTATACATTTTGCAAGCCCTTTAAAAAAAAGGGTTGGAAAAAAGTCTCCTCAAACTGAAGACACACCTGCCATACACCAACCGAACGACAAAAACACCTTTACTCTCGCTACACTGTGAGCCAAGGAAAGCTTTTAGTGCAGCAGCTTGCTCCAGCCCGCCAGCTTTGTGTTGTTCCTCACAATTTATTCAAGACACAATGAAATGATTTGCTTCAGCTTTATATAATGAGATGGGTAAGGCCAAAAGATTCACTACGGTGTGAGGAACTTGAACACAAAACTGATCAAATATTTAGACTTGTTTTTAACTCAAGGTCTGTTTCCTCTTATCTCGGGGCAGCAACATCTTGTTCACCATCACTTATTAAGGTGAAGGGGTCTCTGAGATAACATTTACATAAAGTGATGTTGCTTGGTACTTTGATTCAGATAACACATTACACCACTGTGACGTAAAATAATATGTACCTCATTATTGGAGAGCTGGTACCAGGGCTGTTTTCCATACGTGAAGATCTCCCAGAGAACCACTCCCAAACTCCACACATCACTCTCCGTGGTGAACTTTCTGTACATGATGCTTTCAGGGGGCATCCAACGAATCGGCAGCATGGTGTGACCTCCGACCTTTGAACACAACAAATGCACACACACACACACACACACACACACACACACACACACACACACACACACACACACACACACACACACACACACACACACACACACACACACACACACACACACACACACACACACACACACACACACACACACACACACACACACACACACACACACACACACACACACACACACACACAAACAGAGAAAGAGAGAATAAAGTCAGTACAGTATGCAGCAAACTAAGAAACATTTAAGATTTGGCAAGCTTTTTTCTATTCACTTTTTTATTCTTTTCTCAACTATTCTGCTACATCATGCATTTCGAATGCATGGTCACGCAGCTTTTTCACATTTCTCACAGGGTTCACTTAGGAATTTCAATACATTTTAAAGTAGCACTGCAAACATTTCACTCTTCAAAACTGCACCCTGAGGCAGAGAGCGAGGTTCGATGGTATGGCCCAGCAGATTGCATCATCTCCGTGACTGCAGCACACCTCATTCCTGATCGGTTCCCCCAGACAAAGAGTTTATTCTCCTTTTAGCTGACAAGAAACACACTAATCATCAACTGATTAAAAAAAGGTGGTTAAATAGTCAATTGCTTGCTATACAATGCGTGAGCCAGTTTGGGACAGGCAGAACAATGTTGCAGTTATTTGGTATAAATAAATCTATCTGATAGTTTATACTCTATCGCAATAAGGAGTAAGACATGAGTGAGTCTGTGAGTTTCAGCAATTGTCATAAGCATAAATCAACAGCTAGAGACATTTGTTAATGTCATTAAACTCTAATCTGAACTGGGGTTTTGCCACTGTTTGAACTTTTAACCCTAACCTGCCCAAAGTTGCATAAAACCTGACCCTGGGTCCTCCATATATTGTGCCTCACTTCTCCTCCGAACATGAATCTAGAGACCCATCTGCACTCCATTGCTCCACACAGATAGCCCAATCCATTATTCTGAGGTTTATGCCTGTTATTAATGGCCTGGTACCCACACTTGGCCTGTTTCTTTGTTAGTCAGTGGGTTATTTAATGGAGTAATAAAATGTGCACGGTCACATAGATGGCCATCAGGTTCACTGGTACGTCTGGGGAAACATATCTGCCTCCATCTCTGCAGCTCTTACTCTCCATCACCCGGCGCTCGCTTCTCTCCCTGTACTGCCGTGTCTTGCTGCTGCGTTTTTCTGTTTCTTATTTGCATTTCACTTTCTGTCTCTCCATTGTGCTTTATTGGCAGGACATACTGAAGTACAGCGTTGCCAAACCAGTACAGGGATTACGATGTAAGAATAATGACACAGACTACAATAAAAATACGACTTTACAATATTCTACATTTACTTCAGCAAACTATACAACACTGTTTATAATACAACATGCACATTTTGCTCTTCCTAGAATACCCTTAGTCAGATTTATGATATGACTAAGTTCTCGAATACAAATATAATATCTGTCTAACTCACATTTCTCTTTTCCCAAAATGTTGTCGTTATTTTACTAGCTTTGATTGTCTTACTTTTTAATTGTGCAACCTGATTTTGTAATTCACTTGTTTGAAAGTACCAATAGCTGTAACTGAGATTTGATTATCATTTTGCTTTATCACTGACAGGTGTAGTTTAAGTGTGCGACAGCTATAACCTTTTACTGACACTTTTTTGTGTTTTATGTTGGGAGTTTTTGAGGGCGCCGTAAAGACCATTTATTACAACTCTGATTTCACATAAAATGACAAACATTAAATGTAGTGCACTAAATAGATCGCACACAGTGATTGTTTATTCTATTTTATAGAATTCTGACATTATTTATGAACTAATGTGTCTGAACCTTCTCACATACATTTGTCTTTTTGTTTTATTCATCGTGGCTGATCATTTCTCCTGATGCTTTGAAATATTAATACTGGGCTCTTGAACCGCAGGAGTATTTCCTTTGTGTTTCTGAACTGTGTGTGTTTGTGTGTATTTGTGTGGGGCAGTCTTTAAACTCGAACGAGACTGGATTGAAAGAGAAAACAGAGGTATAAAAACAAATGCAGAAGCAGGAAAGGGAAAGCCTCACATTTCTTCTCATTGCGATTAAATATGAAGAAAATCCCTTTCATAGACTATCACTGAAGTATAGACGGAGCATCGCTCTGTCATCAGCTCTTTCATTTCCTCTCAGCTGTCAGTAGCTTCGTCGTCAGTCTTTGTCTCCTTTCCTCTCTCCCTCGTTCTCACCTTCCTCTCCGTCTCTAAGCCCGCCTGTCTGTCTCTCTCCCGCTCTGTCTTATAAATATGCATCAATCCAGCTTTAGACCTGCCTGAGTGTTCCAGGAAAGCCTCAAAAAAAGAGGATAAATAAAGCAGAGGAGGGCTGCAGGCACTCTGTAGTGACCTCCTAGAGGCTGTGGTATCCATGGCAACTGGGCCGGTTAAAAAAGAAAGCATTATGGGATGTAGTGTGGGAGGAGCTTACTAACCCCGCCCACCCGTTGTTACACAGGAACCTACCTTAATTGCCCTCTGTGTTGCTATGGAAACAAAAACTCTTTCCAAGAACTCGTGTGTATGTGTGTGTGTGTTTGTGTGTGTTTTATTTTAGTTTTCTGGAAAAAGAGCTTGTTCCGCTGGCCCGTCCAAGAAATGGTAAATTGGTTGACATATTGCATTGCACAACTAATCTAGTTTCAATGGCCAAGATCAAAAGTGATTCTAGTCTTAAAAAGCACATTAATGACAAACAAACCACAATGCTGACAAATGTGCAAAAAAGGGGATATGACATCATTACAGGCGATCTATAATTACAGATGTCTCTAGGTTTTGGAATAGGATATTATAACGTTTTCAAGGCAGAAAAGATCCATATAACAACTTTAATTGTCACATAAAATGAATAACTTGAGGCTTATAGGGCTACCAAATAAGCTGGTTGTGTATCACTGTTGCTACATTTGAACCATCTTTTATGCTTTAATGCAAGTGAAAGCAGGTCATATATGGGATTTCTTTTTTATTATAGATAAATGGTCCATAATAATGATGATAATAATAACAATTATAGAGAAAATAGTTACATCAAAAATTAAAATAACATTCACGAGAAAGAGACATTAACTTCTCCACTGCTTCCAGGTGCTCCATTAAGATGCTGTTTGTCTGTAGTGCATGGGGCCCAGACAGGTTGTAAAGAAATGCACACCATCTAAATTACTCTGCAGAGATTGTTTAGCTCTGCTTTGTTGCCAGTGTTTTTCTACAGTGTGTGTCAGCAGCAAAAAACAGTCAAACTGAACATTAAACCCAAGGAGCCATTGAATTTTCTTTCATCCTACACATTTGGGCATGAAATCAGTTTAGGGAAGGAAAGGAATAAATCCCTCCTAAACCCCAACTGCGAAACACACACACACACACACACACACACACACACACACACACACACACACAACACACACACACACACACACACACACACACACACACACACACACACACACACACACACACACACACACACACACACACACACACACACCACACACACACACACACACACACACACACACCACACACACACACACACACACACACACATAAACAGAAAAAAGGCTGCTTGGAAAGGCTCAAGGTTTAAATTGAGGCATCCTTTCTGTTTTCTAAAACGCCTGTCAGGCTCATTGTGTAACAGGGGATTTAATGACGTCACCATTCCCCCCTCCCCCCCCCACACACACACATATATATATATATATATATATATATATATAAACACTGGGGGGGCGCCTCAAATTCTTCTATGACTCATCTTTGCTCCTCGTTCTGACGCAAGAGCATGACTGGTTCTCTGAACTAACACACACACACACACACACGCACACACGCACACACACACACACACACACACACACACACACACCACACCCACGCACACACACACGCACGCACTCACACACACACACACACCCACACACACACGCACACACGCACACACACACACACACACACACACACACACACGCACACACACACGCACACACACACACACACACACGGTCTGTGTGTTTTACCTCCCACTATGCTGTAACTCTCTACTGCTCTGCTGTTTCCTCCATGTCTGTACCGTTCTGTCCTTTTTTTGACATTTCCTGTTGTTCTTCTGTGTCTGTTACCCTGCTCTGCTGTATTGTGTTGTTATTGACTATCCTGTGCGCTGTTTACAGGCTTCCTCGCCCGCAGACCTCTCCTCTCCCTCCTCAGCATGTGTGTAGCTGTATACTGTAGCTCTATTACCGCCTTTTCTCCTTCTTGTGTATATATTGGTCTTTTGTTTTCTCCCTGCCTGGCCTCTCACCCTCTTCCCTCCATCCCTCCTTATTTTCCAGCTCTTTCTTTTCTTTCATCTCTCCGACTCCCTCCCTCCTGCCTCCGTCTCCCACACTTCCATCCCTTCCTTTCTCCCCCTTTCTTTCTCTAGTACTGCCTCAGCATACTAAACACAAGTTCTCTGATTACTTTTCTTCCTGAGAAACGATGGATACAACTCCGAGGCTCGCCACCGCTGCCTTCGCCCGTTACCATGACTACAGCCTCGGCGCTAAGCTTTATTGAGGAGGGCTAAAATGAAGGAAGGGGGGGGGGGGGGGGGGTTGATGTGTGGCGTCATACTGAGAAAGAACCAAATACAAAAGAAAACCAAAGAGAAAGACCCTAATCTATTTTTCTAAATCTTTAAGTTGATGCAACATATGCAAGTAGGAATATATACTATATGTCTCTTTCTAATCATAACAAATAGGAAACACATGTGTACAATTATAATATATTATTGTAGGCTTTGTTTTATGTCAGAATATTGTTTAGCAATCTGGATATAATGTCTTTGCTCATGATGCTTAGTTTCATGGTAGGCTATACTGTAACATTTAGGACAATTGTGCGGTTTTCATTTTTTTCTTAAAAGAGATTTTGGGGTGCTAATTTCACAAATTAAAAGTGAAGAAAATAAGCTACAAACATTGGTATTGTTGGTGACAATCTTAAGAGATAGTTAGTATAATAAGTGTAATTTATTTTATGTAATATTTTATGTACATACTATTTCAAAAAACATTGAATTGAATTACCATTTCATTTATCTCCACCTTCAAAAAACATTACATATTATCAATATGCTGTCTTTGGGGAGTTTCTGAGTTTTTATCTTTATTACCCTTTTTAATATTATTGCATGTTTTATTAGAGTAGTATATTTGAATGTATTGGTGCTTTTCTTGTTGGCAAGTCTCCGGTGAAAAGCTGATTCCTACATTTAAAATGAACACCTGCTTGATTAAGAAAGATTAATACATTTATTTGAAAACAACTTTCAACATTTTGTGTAAATTAGCTTTCAGTATAAGAAATACAAACAGTGGTTTTCAACGCTAACATCCCTTATTCTACACACAGTATGAGCTAACAAAGCATGCTACATACCCTCCCTCCCCTCCTATGTAATTACATACAGTTACATCACTGTTATCTGCATGTTTACTTGAACTACCCTCCACAGAAAGCTTCTTACTCTAACTCCAACATGCCCATGCAGGGGAGGAGCAGAGAGGGACCCATGCAACAGGGAAAAGGGAGAGGCTAAAAAAAGGGCCAGAAAAGATATCGACACATACACCTACCCTGTAGTAGTCCGTACTGTAGACATCTCTGGACATGCCAAAGTCTCCAATCTTTACCAGCAGGTTCTCTCCCACCAAACAATTCCTGATGGATAACAAATACATAATAAACAGTTTAAATAATGATATTTTATATTACTTAGGTCACACTGCAGGGTTTTAAACCTCTACAATATATAAGTAGATCCGACAAAAGTTAAAAAGTAATTATCAAAGTCAATAATGTTCAATAGTAACAGTATATCTTTGATTGGAAGAGTTTTACATGTGTTTGTCATGGTATGGTTTCATTACATAAGCCTTATTCAATCATTCTCTGAAAGTGGAAATACAAAGATGCAATCTGCAATGCAATACTATCGATCAATCCTGCCTACTAGCTGTTTGGCCTTACTGGATTATGCATTTATATGAATGTATATGACATTTATGTCCAAAAGACTACATTTGTCAAAGTATTTCTATATCATTACATTTGCAAACATTTTCAAAATGTGTTTTTTAACTTTCTCAACATTGAGTATTCCTTTAAATGTAATGTTAAGTGTCTAAATACATTGCCATGTACAGTATACAGGCCCATTCATTAAGTCCATTTTAATAATCACAGTATGTCTAGATAGAAAGTGTAGAAACAGTGTGATAAACCTGGTGGCCAAGTCACGGTGCACAAAGTGTTGTGATGCCAGGTAGACCATGCCGGATGCGATCTGCTGTGCGATGTGTAACATCTGGGACTGCGTCAGCTCCACAGGTCTGGTGTTCTGGCCCTCGGACATCAGAACTGCATCCGGGCCGTGAGCCCTGCAAAGGTGATTTTTTTTTAAGTTAGCCTTGTTATTGTTTGTTGGAGTCATTTTGGTTTTCTGCGCAGTTTTGTACATAAAATACTACATCAACCCTTCTATGAGAGTGTTCAGAAAATGAAGCAGATTTTCTTTAAACTAGTCAAAGAAACGTCTACTTTACAATCTTTGTCTATTGATGCCTCTGTTTTCATGACAGCAGTTCAGTCGGGAACATTATTGTCATAGATTTAACTATGTACTCCAAGAAATGCAATTATATTTCGCAGATGACTCCACTCTTGAGATACGTCCCTGGATTAGTTTGCAGCACACTAAGCCGAAAAAGGGAGTGCAATGCAGAGAACCCCCCTTTAGTACACAAGAGTGGGTCTACAGCAAGACACTGAATACAATTACTAGAGTCAAGAGAAGAGAGAAATACTGCACCCTATGAACTTCTAGGTACCAAAACAGTGTGTTACTTATAAACTTAATTAGTAAGTGACAGTGTGCAGGACTTCTCTATTTTGACTTTGGTCAATACTCATTTGCACCTGCCTACAAGACAGCGTAAAGATTGAGTGCACATCCACCTTTACCATTAAGTTTTAAACTCTAAACTAAATAGGCGTTGGAGTCAAAACTTGCAGTGACGAGATTGGTGTGACACTGATAATAAACAATGATCAGCTTCTAGTACAGCCGACTATGACCTCCTGACCTACATGAACTAATGCTAATTGTGATATATAGATGACTGTTTGATGTAAGGAAGAAAAGAGCCATACCTGAGGAACTTGTTGAGGTCACCATGTTTCATGTACTCAAACACCATGATGAGGGGGTCGCTCTCCACGCAGACTCCGTAGAAAGTGACAATGTGTTCATGCTGAAGGTTTGTCAGTAACTCAGCCTCACGGTGGAAATCCTTCCTGGCATTTTCACTGGCCTCTTTAAGTGTCTGCGGACACACAGAAGTGACATTTAATACACGGACGAATGTAAAACTCACACGTTGTGCCACGTAAACCATAGCCAATTAGTCATTTTCACTGTGCACCCAACCTGCTCCAATTTATGTAGCTGATCTCCATTAGAAAATAAAGAAATGACTCTCTTGAGTTACAGCAAATCAGGCACACACTGTGAAATGACTGGCACCAAGCAAGGACTGATACAAAGGCAGCGCACAAACAAAATGTATATGTATGCAAGCCATTACTTAGTACAACACTGTTTACATTCATTGTATTCCCTGGTTCCCTTTAAAACTAATCTCTTTCTCCCTTCCATGAATCAGGAAATCTGTCAGGGAGCAAGCATCTGTGACAGAGACAGAAAACGAGTGTGTGTGAAAGAGAGAGTTGCAGGAAATGAAAGTGATACGGGGTCTGTATTCATTTCATATCAAAAGAAGAAAAATATAGAAAATGTCTCTTGTCCTACATGAATAATTGATTGTCTTCCTACAGTATATGACATGGATATACATTCACCTTCCACCTTCTGTGTGTGCATTTGTGTGTGTGTTTTTGTGTGTTTATCTGTGTACATGTGTGTGTTTGTCTGCGTACTAACATCGCAGAGTAGTTTCGATTACAAATATATGTTTAAAGGACGAAGAGTAGTCACTAAGAAAGCTCTAGAAGAAGGAAACGACCCGCGACCTTTGAGCAGAAATGCTGAGATACCAGAAAATGAGATGAACTGAAAGTCCACCCCCTCGTATTAAACTGATCGTGTATCATGATGAAACAAAGGCTTGGTCCTGTACATTACAGGCTGTAATGTAATATTACATGATGATTATATGGAGGATTAGTGCATTATGGATACTGTATGGAAGCATATGCTCCAATCTCAGTTTGAAAGGTGATATTAGACATGTTTGGGAAGCTGGTTGTTTTCTCCCATTACTTCTCACATGAACGCCTGTCTAAGTTAGACCTTTCTGTTTATGTGACTATTAATTGTTTGCTTTCTTAAAAAGCAAATAGTTGATTATACAAAAAAAAAAGTATGTTTGCCAGGTTTTAAGATAATCCTTCGATTAGCATTTTATATGTATTATTTAAAGAGATATATACTGTATGTAAACAAGTAATTAAGAAAGCTCTTTGTACAGAAGATGTCAACTTATCAATTGGAATCTTCTTGATCAATTCAAGGAATTGAAAAAGCTTAAAAGACAAAGCCAGGGTATTTTAACTAATGCCTTTACAAATGTTAACCCCCTAAAAGAAGTAAATTACTTCAGTTGATCTAAAATGCTGTACATGATCCACATATGACATATAGTCTAAGCAACTCATACTGCACACGCATAATATATTTTTGTTTCCTGGCACAAAGAAATGTTGGAAAAAAGGAAAAATGTCTTTCCTGGCAATCACAGGTTATCAATCAGCTAACTTAACTGTTAAGTGTATCAAATGACCACCATAACAACAATTTATCAAACAATATTCAAGTTTATTTCAGAGACTTTCTTTGAGCCAGAAAACATCTAACTGTGAACTATTACGCTCTGAGTCTCTGAGCTCCATGCTGCGTATATTCCCAGGCTTAAAGCCATAATACTGCACTGTTAGTCATCCAGTGTGCGCACACTCAGGTCCCCGGACAAATAAGAAGCAATCAACAACCACGAGCCCGGGAATGTAGTGACTCACATTTACATGTGAAGGCAACATTATTGAAAGTGTTAGGTGCTTATGATTGATGGCATGCAAGCGTGTATAGGTGCGTGAATATTTATATATGCATCTACACGTGTTAGTGTGCCTGTGATCGATGGCACATCAGCGAATGAAATACAGTTACAGTGAAACTGGCTTCTGTATTATAGCTGACTGGCTGATTGATAGCCGACTCTAAAACCAGGACCATTAGGGTCTATTAGTGATTGCAGGTTATTTAATGTGGTGTACATGTTTCTGTGATGTAGCATGCATGAAAGAGTGCATCATAAGTACCGTATGTACATGTTAACAATGTTGTTATGAGAGGAGTGGGAATATTCACAGGGAAAATACACCTGTAAACTAAAAATGGCTGTTCTTGCTTTAATGTTGAATAGCCAGACATGCTATCTCTATGCTGAACGGTGCAGAAACAGGCAGTTAGGATGAACACATTCACTGACAAACCTTTATGTACATCATGTAACAACAACTGCACTAACTATTACAATTAAATGGAATCGAAATTATATTAATTGAATTAATTGATTGAAGAATATGTTGCCAAAATGAAGGTATCAGTTTGTAGTGAAACACCACGATGATTGGTTTTAGCTGTCCAAGGTTTGAGAAAATCTGCCTCTGAGATTTTTTGTTTCCAATCCTCTACAATGGAGATGAGAGTCATTTTGTGAGAGTCATTTTGCTTTTGTTGCTTCCGGCACTTAAAAAATAACTCACTTTTATCAGTTGTCAATTGAATTGCCTTACTTTCCAAAGAAATATCCCCTTTTAGGTTATTTAGTAATTTAGAGGAACTTGCATTGGCAAGTAGTAGTCAATGCTAATGCCATCATTTATTCGAAAATCTGTTTCCACCAGCTTTCATCACATCTCTTCTTTGTTGATGCAGCAACAATGAGGAGGAGGAGGAGAAAGAAAAAACTAACGGAAAAATGGTGAGTCATACCAGTTGACAAAAAGACGAGGACAAGAAGAGCAGGAAGAGTATGCTATTAGCAGGTGGTACATTAACTAATTGAAAAGCTAAATCCGATGAATTGAGGGAGTTGAATCAATAAAGTGACTCTAATGACTAAATGATTCATTTGCATGCAATTAAACTATGGCAGTTTGAGAAATGTGCTTTATTTTTAATGTACGTTGAATGCTGATTATGTAATGTGTTACCAGATTTGACTTGCAGTACAGCAACACATAGCATCTTGTTCAACAACAGGAGCCATGCTTCCTGGGACTTTCAGGTGCATATTTGACAGGGTGCTCAGACTGAGCTAAACTAAGCTGGCAGCAAACATCGGGCCAGCAGGCGGTTTACAGAGAAGAAGCTGGAGGATTTGAGAAGAGGATAAAGGACTGCAGAGGAGAGAGAAAAGTACTACAGGTGGGAGTTAGAGGTGAGGGATGTAAGACAGAGGAAGTGGGGACAGAAGGAGATGGAAGAGGGTCTCGCACAAGTCATGTATTGTTAATGAGAGGATCTGCACCAATCAGATCCTGTTTCACCGCAGAGCATCCTTGATGGAGAGATGCGTGGACGGATAGATGTGATGGCAGGATGCACTTTGGGAAACTATTCAATTTGACCCCGGAAGTCCGCGGTTTGAGTGTAACTCCACCTTTTGCTTAAAAAAAACTTCTGAAAGGAATGACTTGCTAACAATAACGGAGAAAATCTTAAGTCTTAAGAATGCATTTCAGTTACATAAGATATGTAGTTTTAAATATATATCAGATCACCTTACAAAATACAACCGAAAAAACAATAACTTCAGCTATAATAATCACATTATGGATTTAATCCATCATCATCAAAAAATCTCGTACTGAAACTAGACTTCATAAAATACCTTCTTTGTGATGTGGAGTGGATTGTGTTTCATTTCAATCGGTACTTAAATGTGTAATAACTACGTCTGTGTCTGTGTCTGTGTTTTGTTCACTTAAGTGATGGAGGTGTGTGGTTGTTTACTTACAGTACACTGCATGTACTGGGTCACATTTTAAAGGCAATAGAACAATAGAAATAAGTATATTAAAACAAATGTGGTGGGACTCTCGTTATTGACCTGGAAAACCTAGAATACATTCACGAAAACCTCCAGTAAAAAAATCTTCCAGCTATTCAATGTCTGTGTCATGCCTGGGTTCAAATCCTTGCTGGTCCATGGAACATTTACGGCCCGTCCACACAGCGGCGTGCGTTGAAGCTTGCTCCATTTTTTGGAATATGAGGAAATGACCTGCGGTGTGTCTCTCCCAGCATACACGCGGTTTGATTGGCTGCATAAACGGGATTTGATTGGCTGACGCTTCCACCGAAGCTTCAGAAGCTTCAAAAGTTGAACATTGCTCAACTTTTGCAGCCTGAAACGCCAGCAAAGCTCCGCTCTGCTTCCCACAATGCAGTTCGGCGAAAAGTGAGGCAAAGTGACGTCACCCCATTCAAAGTGAATGGGCAGAAGCGTTGGAAGATTTTTTTAACGCTGCTGTGTGGACGTACCGTTAGACTTCAATTTACATTATCACTGGGACTATACATATATTCATTTTTAGTTTGTTTGTTTGCCCTTAATAATGACTCAGCCTTAGTTATCTATTAGAAGAGTTTCCAGAGTCGTAGAAAGTTGCACAGATTGTTTTCCTCTGCTTTTGTGTATTTTTCAGGAATACAAATATAAAAATAGGACCAGCAGATTACCTTGACAGCCACCAGTATCTTCTCCTGGTCAGGTGAGAGGTTGTAACACTCGGCCAGGAAGACTTTTCCAAAGGCTCCTTCTCCCAGCTCTCTTTTGAGCACAATGTTGTGTCTCTTAATGTGCTGGACGACTGTGGAAAGAGACAAAACACAGAAAAAAAGAATTACTTAAGAGTTGGCCAACTTGGTTTTGAAACACTTTGTAAGGCAGTTTAAATAAAGACCCAAAATCCACTATTCTGCCACTGTTCATCCTATAGCGTCAGTTATTAAACTTTCATCATTATTTGTAATGAATCCCGTCAATTAAAAAGTGTGCAAGCAAAAACATATATTTCATATAGATTTATACTCTTTTTCAATAAAAAACATAGCTGCAGGGGGTTCTATCTCTCCTGGCTGTTATATAGAGGTGGGAAATATGGTAAATAAATGGGGATTTTATACCATTTGGAAAATGTTTTTCAGTTTCGTCATGTAAATTCTAAAAACATGTCTCCCTCTCTGTTTCATGCACTTCATCTCTCCCTGCCCTCGGCTCACCCACAGTTGAATCAGAGTCGACAGACCAGCTCTCTGTTGCTAAGTAACTTGTGACTCCATGCCAGCTTTTCTTTTTTTTGGGGGGGGGGATGTTGGCATCATATCACGGTGATAATACGAGATGTTGTTCTTCTGAACAGCACAGTGCCCTGACTATAACCTGGCTAAGCCCTGTCTTTTGACTCCGAGCCAGATGTGCACCGGCCTGCAAGGAAACACGGATTATCCCACACATACACACACACACACACACACACACACACACACACACACACACACACACACACACACACACACACACACACACACACACACACACACACACACACACACACACACACACACACACACACACACACACACACACACACACACACACACACACACACACACACACACACACACACACACACACACACACACACACCAGAGGACACCAAGAGATGAGATTTATCTGTGATGTGATTAAGAGGCGCATTTGAAGAAAAGCTGTCCACTCAGAATATCACATTAAAGCCCAGCTAGATTCTCAGAAGCTACATCGATCTACACTGTGAGCTACTGAGGTCCACCATAACCTAATATTGTACAGACAGAGGGGGGAGGGGGAAAGGGGGGGAGAGAGAGAGACAGAGGGAGAGAAAGAGAGGGAAATTGGGGGAAAAGTCTTCATCAGATAATTTAGCGCATCTTATTTGCAGTGTAAAATTATCGTGGAGGAGAACACAACCATGTACAATTTGTTTGTGTCTGCATGTGGGCCTCTGCAGGCATTGCACATACAGTATAGTATACAGTATGTTCACACGGTCTCCTACAAATCTTTGTCTACTCTACTAATTTGATTTACCAGTTGGTCATGGAAGATGCTGAGTTTGTCACAGCAGGGCTTTGATAAATTGGAGTTTACATCCCTGTGGGGTGGTTACCATGGGTTTTGGCTAAAAAAGTACTTTTGATAAGGTTAGGATCAGTTTTTGGTTAAATGTTAATGAACAACTAATGATGTATTGTGCTGAGTTTGTTAGAGCAGGGCCTTACATCCCTGTGGGGTGGTTACTGTGGGTTTAGGCAAAAAAATGCATTTCGGTCAAGATTAGGGTCAGATTTTGGTTTAATGTTTAAAAAAAACTAATGATGTATTGTGCTGCAATGCACACAGATACATTTATTAATATTCAACCTAGAAGACAATTTGTTCCTAAGTGCTCGAGTGTCAAGCTTTAGTTGCCACAATCAGATATTGACTCTCGTTATTCTCGTTAAAAATTAAGTGTTAGCCTACACAATATATAAAATATCCATTATCATCTGTAGAACTTCAACTTTTAATCATTGTGTTATAATACTTTAACATTGTTATTTTTCTGGCCCCTTTGCCTAAGAGTAACGTTGGTTCCTACCTGACCTGTTCATATTTTATGGGGGACAGGTGTGGGTCAGTCAACATTTTAGCGCGCTTAATATTGAAACAGAGGGACTGGAAGTGTCCACCAACCAAGACAATATATGCCAACAATACTTTGATTGTACCTCGGCAGTGTTGATAAGAAAAATAAAGGTTACTGTCAGGGAATAATTCTGTATACATGTTTACCATTTGCCCTCTGACGCAGATGCCCAGCCTTGGGCAGCATGCTATCTCCCTCAAGGAGGGGCTGCCCTAGCATTTTGTTGTTGTTACAGAGTTTATGACCGGGCAACACTCGGTCAGAGATAGTTATTGTTCTGGGACACCTGGAACACATCCTTCTCTGGGTGTAGATGACCCCGGGCCATAAGCGACATACAGTGGTTTGGTGGAAAAGTAGATCTGTACTTAGTTAAATGGGGGGTACTAAGTGCTGAGCACTAAGTGCTGGGCACTAAGTATGGCAAAGCACTTGGTGTGAAAGCGGCTATAGTGTTTAATGGCGGTTGGCAAACCACTTAAGAGTACTGGAGTGTGAAACAAGAATTATTACCTGGAACTACAGGAGGGTTCTTCAGAATTGATTGTGGCATCTATACCATGTGGTCAAACCGTGGCCCGTGACATGTCTTGTGAATTCTTCGGCCGAAGCTCCAAATAAACCGTCAGTGTTTGCCATCAAAGCTCCAGCTCTCCTCGTGTCTCTCTTTGAGTCCTGACTCCAATTGCTTCAGAAGTTTCCCCCACAGTTACCCTTAACAAATCCCTGGTTTAACGTAGTCTACCACCGGGCGGGCTAGCTAGTAGTACATAAATAAATAATTAAATAAATACATATATATATAAATATGCCTATGAAATAAATAAATAAGGTTATGAAATACATTCTGAAATAAATAAATAAGGCAATAAATATATATAAATGTACATTTAAATACACATTTATTTATTTATTTCATGGGAATTTTATTTCATAATGCCACATTTATTTATTTCAGGGGACTTTTATTTCATAATGCCACATTTATTTATTTCAAGATACTTTTATTTCATAATGCCACATTTATTTATTTCAGGGGACTTGTATTTCATAATGCCACATTACATTTCCATTTCTAATATTCAAATGAACGGGGCGTGGTTAGCTCACAGATCCAGACCAAAGCAACAGCACCACAACACTGACTCAATAGCTCTTGTTTCACACTCTAGTAAGTGGTTTGCCAACCGCCAATAAACACTATAGCCGCTTTCACACCAAGTGCTTTGCTATACTTAGTGCCCAGCACTTAGTGCCCAGCACTTAGTGCCCAGCACTTAGTGCCCAGCACTAAGTGCCCAGCACTTAGTACCCCCCATTTAACTAAGTACAGATCTACTTTTCCACCAAACCGGTTACGGTTCCAGAACCGTTCTTGCACTTTTCTGGTGCTTAACTGTTGTTCTCTGTAGCACCACTTGTGTTTCCAGCGCTCAAAGCCCGACTGCTGCAGCATCATGACGTACCGTTTACGTCGCTGATTTTCTCCCAAACGCCGCTCACAACACAAACAATGGTGGACTGCGTCGGGTAGATGGTCGTGTTGCTTTTAATCATACGATTAAATTAAATTGCTACTTCTCAACCCTTGTACTTTTCTCCAGAGTGCCGTGGTTCATTGTTTTTTAATGTGGTTCAGCGGCATTTACCGACCGCTGCAGTGCTGCTCGTCCACCGGAGTTTATTCAGCGGCCGCTGTAAAGTCTTCACTGTCTGACTGTCACATTTAAGCAGCTGATAAATATCCCCCCCCCCCCCCCCCCCCTAAAGTGAATGTGTTTCAGGAGGAATTGACACTGTTATGAAAGTTTCTCTGTTATAAAATAGCAACCGAAGCTAATCTGACTATCTTGACTACTTGTTGTTGCTATCCTATTGTGGCATAAGCCGTTTTCTACAGGCACATTTACCGGCGTATTTTTCATTATGATTCTACTTGTGATAGTCGGACATGACAACCTGTGCAGCCCATGTATTGATTCCATCCGATAGCTGCTATAATACAAAACAAAACGTCTGCCTGCTCTCCACAATGATCAATAACAGCGAACGGATGGTCAAAGTAAGGTACAAATAAACAGAATCACACGAAGCCTGGTTAGTGTTGCCTGACTTTATAAAGCGTGTGGTTGCTTTCTAGTCAATTTGCTCAGCGCTACTGCTTGTTATAACTTTCATTTGCCGTACTCGCCATGAACTGTTATGGCTCAGGTTAATCTTGCCCCCCTCCGACGTGAGCGTGGTTCTTGGTTCTTGCCGGTGTTGTGTCAAATGATGCACCCCCGTCGTGAAATGCACCCCTTGACACGGGAACGCGCATTTGAATGTATAGTCCGCTATTCTATGTTGTCTCTTTGATGGTTGGGTTGTCGAATCCTGGATTTTGCATTCATTCGTCACTTATTTTTCAGTTCATTTTTTATTTAATATATGTTTTTATTTAATTGTGACGTCCTGTCTGTATACTTTTGCTTGTACTTGTGCTTTACAATGTATTGTTTATTTTTACATCAAGTGCTTGAGGGTGGGATTAATAGAATTTTTTTTATTTTGGGGGGTGCTTTTTATGAGCAGCCTGGTTGCCACGATATGCACCCCTTGCTATCTCTGACAATAAACGTGTCACATACATGAAACTTGCTCCATTTATTGGTACTAGTCCTACAACTATACCCTCCTAAGTGCTTGAGGGTGGGATTAATAGAAGCATCTTTTTTTGGGGGGTGCTTTTTACGGCAGGCCAGGTGGTGCATTTCACGACGGGGGCAGCCGAGTGGGGTCAGCAAAGAACCGGTTTTCGGTGTTTAGAGCCGGCTCCGCTGTGGCTGAAACAGAAGAACCAGAGCTAAATCAGGCTGTAGCCCGGAACTGGCTCTGGAACCGGTTTGGTGGAAAAGGGGTAGAACCAGAGAAGAACCAGTTAAGCACCAGAAAAGCACAAGAACGGTTCTTGAACCGTAACCGGTTTGGTTTATTGGCGGTTGGCAAACCACTTAAGAGGACTGGAGGAGTGTGAAACAAGAGCTATTGAGTCAGTATTGTGGTGCTGTTGCTTTGGTCTGGATCTGTGAGCTAACCACGCCCCGTTCATTTGAATATTAGAAATGGTAATGTAATGTGGCATTATGAAATACAAG